GGACGGGGGCGCCCGGGAGGGGGGGGCGGGGGGTGGGGTGAAGGGAGCTGGAGCCCTGCTGAACTGAACAGAAAGCAAAGCAGGATCTCCTGTCTAGCTGGGACTGTGTGCCCTTTGCACCTGCGCTCACATGAGGGGGACATGTGCCCAAGTCACAGTTAGGTCGGGGACATGTCGGAACTGCGCCTGCCTGCAGGGCTCAGGACTGGCACAGGAAGCGAGGGTAGCGCTTTTCAAATGGTGGCTCATGACCCATCAGGGTGAATGCCACCAGGGATTTTCTTTCCAGATTAAAACAAAATACTATACTTTTATTCCACAGCGGTTTATTTCTCCCCTTTCTATTCTGTCCTACTCCCACTCCATGGAGAGCTGCATGGTAGGCTATGGCTGCCACCTCCACTGGGACCTCCCCCCATATGCCCTGCGATAGTATCCGCTCCTTCACACCTAGCGCATAATATTTCTAAACTTTTCCTCTTTGATCAGACATGGACCTTGCTTTTACCCTGTATCACTTGGAGGGAGAGAAAGAAGTTGGAAGACCTGGGTTGGGCATTTCTCCAACAGACCAGGGAGGACGTGATCTCTCTCTCTCCCTCTCGCCTCCCCCTCCCCTTCATTCCTTCTTTGTACTTGCCATTGAACCTAGGGCCTTTGCACTGAGCTACGTCACCATCCCTTTTCGAGTTTTTAGGGTCAAGGTCTCACTAAGTTAAGTTGCCCAGGCTGGGCTTGAACTTTCCATCCTCCTGCCACAGCCTCGGAGACTGCTGAGGTTCCAGGCATGCGCCACTACACTCAGCTATAATTTGCATTTCTTCTTAGCTTCCAGATGGCCCTGAGCAGCCAGGTATCAGCTCTGTGACCTGGGTAACTGTGTTCCTCAGCCGGTGTCCTGATCTGTACGTGGGGATAACAACACCTATGACAGCCAGCAGAAACAAAGACCAGAACAGGACTACATCCGGGATAAGAACACCTCCAACAGGACGCACTCTAAGGACAGCTTGCCACCTGCCCCACCCACAGCTGGGCCCCATTCCTCTGCCTACCAGGCTCTGCTCCATCTGGAACCTGGTATTTGTCTACCATGCGGGGTTATTGTGAAAGAGAAATCAGAGACATTTCCTTGAGACAGGAGTTGGGAAGACAAAACTTACAGATCTAAGGCAAGAGAAGAAGCAAATGTAACACAATAAACAGAGGACAGAGTGGTGCAGTGATGGGTGGGAGCTGGAAGCTGAAACTCCGTGTGCCAAGGTTTGGTATCACTTGGCCCTCATCCCGGCCGTGGGCAGGCCTGTAACTACTCCCTTTGGTGGAAGAAGACGCAGGGCTCAGGGAGTCCCAGTAAACCCAAGGCCACACAGTGGGCCGTGCAGAAGCAGGACACAGGCTGGGTGTCAGTCCCACCATGCCGTGTAGCCCATCACTTGTCTCTGGTCATTACGATTGTGGCATCTATTCAGGGCTATGGGCAGGATCCAGAAGTCCCCTCGGCTGGACTCCATAGATCCCCAGGTCTGAACACCCACCACCTACCCTTGCAGCACGGCCACTGAGCTCTTCTCTTCTGCATGGGCTGAATCCGAGGTCCTTATCTGAAAGCCTTGATAAGGCAGGTGTTGGTCTGGGGGCAGAAGTGGCTGTGAGTTCCAAGGTGGGGCAGGAAGGGAGTCCGGGCTCAGCCTGGCTAGGGGCTCCTCTGATCCACCCTGCCCAGGTGGTGGAGGGTGAGGGCCAGGCTGACAGGTGGCTGCTGCGGGCAGAGCTGGGTCAGTGATCGGCCTTGGCCGACTGGAGTAAAAGGTTCTGTCTGGTGCCCCTCTAGGGAGGTCTAGCTGCTGGGCCACTTGCTGCAGCCTTCCTCGGAGGTATCCACACACAGCACCTCAAAACACAGCGCCAGGGTGTGGCAGCGACTCCCGAAAGACCTCCTAGATTGTGGCGAATTCCCTGCCAGGCAGGAGTCTCTGTGAGCTCTTTGCATCTCCCCCAGCGCCCTGCCTCTAGTGGAGTCTGGTTGTCTTCAAAGGAGACATTACCATGATGGTGGTTGCTCGGGACACCCAGGGGACTGAAGAGCTGGCTGGGCCACCCAGAGTTCTTTCTCCAGCACAGGAATAGTCAGCATTCAGTGTTGCTGTGAGAACTGCAGTTCATGTATATGAAATGCCTGGCACAGACCACACACTTAATAATATCAGTTTATTGCTGTTATGGACTATTTACCATTTAGCAGTGCTAAAGCAGGTGCTAAGATATTTAAATGCATAATCTCATTTGGGAAATAAATTATATTTACAGTGAGGTTATAACTGTGCTGTAAGCTAGACCAAAAGGAGAGAGAGGAAAAAAAAATGACTCAAAGATCACTCACTTATATGGTGGATTAAAAATGGCCACAGAGTTCTTGTCACTCCTCCCACCAAGAGGTGGACGAGCAGCTTGGGGATGGTACTGACCAGAAGGATGAAGTCAGGCGACACTGTGGAGTTCTGAGCCCAGGCCTCAGAGGCACCACAGCTTCCCTTCCTGGCCTTTTGGGCTGTGGCCGTCCTGTGAAGGTGCCTGAGCTGGTCTGCTGGAGTCACAGCCCAGCCAACAGCTGCACTCACCATGGGACAGGTCAGTGGGACCATCTCAGACTGTCCACCTGCCAGCAGTTGTTACTTGAAGCTAAATGCATTCCCTACTGACCTAGTGCCTCAAAGGGTCCTGGGACTCTTTCCTTCTAGAAAACACTTCTAGCATCAGTGCCCTGGGATCTTTCCCAACCCCTAGAGACTTGTGCAAGAGTTAGTTATGAGATAGAATTATGCAATCCCGGAGGTTGACACAGCTGGTGTGGGATCCCCTTCCTGTCTACCCTAGGTGGTACAAGTTTGGGGGAGTTGTGGCATGGGGTTGGGAGGGCTGACCGATTCCACTGTAAGTGGGGTACAGTTTATTTTGGAAGTGAAAGGTACCACCATGGCACCCCCTCCCTTGAAATACATAAAAATTGAAAGCAATATACACTATGCACGTTTGTGTTTTGACATTCATCTTTGGCCTGTACCACCCAACGTCATCTGCTTTTCCACTTTTGTTATTTTAGGAATATTTTCCATTTGCAGGAGGAAAATTTCCAATCATGCCCATTAGGGCAGGAACAGAAGCAGCTGCTTCTTTCAAGACCACAACCGCAGGGGCTTCAGTGCCCAGAGAGGTGGGCAGTCCAGGGGTCAGAGCTCACCCGGACACATGCAGGTGTGAGCGGGCAGACCTGCGGCAAAGGTCCTCGCATCCCCAGTCCTGACCCAACAGCGCTGGGACAGTGTGCAGAACTGTGCAAGGACTGGAAGAGGAGGAGAAGACAGAGTGCCCAATGCCTTTACTTAACATACGAGGAAGCTGAGGATGATCCTCCCTGTTACTTATAGCATAGCTGTAGCAGGGCACAAAGCAGCATTCTCAGTGCTGGTTGCAGATCAGAATCACCGAGGGGAGCTTTTAAAACACACGAATGCTTGGAAACAGCCCATTTGCCCATCCGTTGGAAACTGGATAAAGAAGATGTGGTTTTTCTATAAAATGGAATATTACTCAGCCATAAAGAATGAGAAAATAGATTCATTCATAGGAAAATATATACACATTG